CCCGCCCCGGGCCCCGCCTCCAGCCCTCCTGGGACCGCCCGCAGCCGGGAACTCGCAGGCTAAACCCGGCAGGCAGCGCCTGGGCGCTTTAGGGAGGGGGCGGGCCCGAGGGCCGTGGCCCAGGAGCGGTTGCTGCGGGGATGGGGCGGTGACGCGGCCCGAGGGCGGAAGTGAGAAAGTTGCCGGCGTCCCGAGGCGAGTTGCCGGAGCTGAGCGCGCGCCGCGGCGATGGGGGGCTCGGGCAGTCGGCTGTCCAAGGAGCTGCTGGCCGAGTACCAGGTGCGCGGGACGCCGGTCCCCTGGGAGTTCGCGTGCGCGCCTCTTCCCGGGAGCGGGGTCCTGGAGCGAGCGGCGGGGCGGCCGCGGCCTCCAAGCAGCCCACCGACCCTCTGTCTGGCTTTGCCTTTCAGGACTTGACGTTCCTGACCAAGCAGGAGATCCTCCTGTAAGTACTGCCCTGAACTCCACCTCGGGATCCTCTAGAGACGGCTTCGGGGGGCCTGTCCCCAGATGGACAGACTGATTCCCCTCCACCCCAAGAGAGGGGCAGGAGCTTGCCCGAGGTCTGCGGGGGAGCCGGAGCCGGAACTGGAGGCCAGGAGTCGGAGTCGGTCTGCGCGCTCCTCCCAGCTCGCCTCCCCGCTCGCGCCCTGGCCCCAGCTTTGCATCGCTGAGCCACCTCGCAGGCTCCAGGAAAAGTGGGGCGCTCTTTGACCCTGCGCTGCTCCGGCTTAGGCACTACTGAACCAGTCCGGCAGGGGCTGCTGTGCTCTTGGCCGACTTTGGCTAAACCCCAGAAGCTTTGGGGAGTCTGGCTCCTGCTCCCAGCTATACCTGTATAATACAGGAACCGTTAACGCTTACTGAGCACTTAGCGTGCGCCAGGGCCTGCATTACCTAACTTAAACTTTAGAAAAGAGGTACGGAACAATGGAACAGCCTCAGAGAGCTTTGGTAACTGCCTAAGACTGCACGCTGAATAAGTGGATTTGAACTTGAACTGGGACCTGGTTGACCAGCTTTATGCAGGCCAGGGCACGTGAGTGAGGAGATCCCTGGTCTTCCTTTGGCAAAGATCACCTATGGGAAGGAGATGGGGGTGAGGAGGACAGTCCAGGGTGGATGCTTAAAAAAAAGAGCAGGGCGCAGAAGCTCACGCCTGCAATCCTAGCACTTTGAGCGACTGAGGTGGCAGGATTGCTTGAGCCCAAGGAGTTCAAGACCAGCCTGGGCATCATAGTGAGACCTCGTCTATACAAAAAATAAAAAAGGCCATTGCCTTGCTAAGCTATGGTGTGGCCATGTGCTCTTTGGGCTATGGATAGGCCATGTTTTCTTAAGCTTTGGCCCCCTCCCCTACCTTGGGAAGGTGAATCTCTTTTTTTCTCTCTCTCTTTCTAATTTACTTTCTAAATAAACTATATTTTCTAATTTTAAAAAAATGCCTGGTGCAGTGGCTTACACCTATAATCCCAGTACTTTGGGAGGCCGAGGTGAGGGGATTTCCTGAGCTCATGGGTCCAAGACCAGCCTGGGTAACTTGGCGAGACCTCATCTCTACAATAAATAAAAAAATTAGCCGGGCATGGTGGCATGTGCCTGTAGTTCCAGCTACTTGGAAGGCTGAGGCGGAAGGATCGACTGAGCTCAGCAGGTCGAGGCTGCAATGGCCATGAGCGTGCCACGTGCCACTGCACTCCAACCTGGGTGACAAAGTTAGACTCCAACTCAAAAAATAATAATAATAAAATAAATAAATACATAAATAAAATTAGCTGGGTATGGTGGCACATGCCTGTAGTCCTAGCTACTGAGGAGGCTGAGGTGGGAGGATCGCCTGAGCCCAGGAAGTTGATACTATGGTGAACCATGATCTTGTCACTGCACTCCAGCCTGGGTGACAGAGTGGTATCTGTCCCACTATGCCTTCCGCATCTTCGGTAAAATATACACATATATATATGGCTTTGAGGAGCAGGAGATCCCTGGAATGAAAGTGAAAATGAGATTTTTGGTTTTGTTCTTTTTTTCCCGGTTCTTCAGTGCTGACTTCTGGCTTCTCCCCCAACCTCTTGATCCCCCGGGGAGCTGTAGAATCAGTTCCCAACACATAGTAGGCCCTCACAAATACCCATCGCAAGAAGGGACTCCCAGCCTGTGCTGTCTTGTGATTGTTGTCCTTTGGCTTAGTGTTGCCTGATGGCTCAGAAGTTCTGTGTGTGTGGCTTAGCTCCTCACCTGGTTTATACCTGGTATAGAGGCACAGAGTGGGGATATAATAACACAGGGCGATGATTGCCTAGGAGTGCCAACAAAGTCCCCCCTCTCTTTCTGCCAGAGCCCACAGGCGGTTTTGTGAGCTGCTTCCCCAGGAGCAGCGGAGCATGGAGGAGTCACTGCGGGCTCAAGTGTCCTTTGAGCAGATCCTCAGTCTTCCAGAGCTCAAGGTGGTAACCCTCTACACACCCTGCCTCTGCTAAACTCCCTCACTCTTGCTGCCACTAGCTGTGAGAAACAACCCCTTTCTGTTTGTTTTTCTAACCTTGATAGGGCTTTACCAAAATCACCCAGCAGAATTATCTAGAATAGTGCTTTTCAAACTGGGATTCTGGGATATATTGTTGGAGGTTCAGAGCTTTGTCCTTTAAGGAGTTATATTATTAACTTTTGAGAAATCCTATTCCAGAGGCTGATTGCCACTCCATTGGGCTGCTAGGAAAATTTCTGTGCAAAGGGCCTGGCCCAATGCCTGGAACACTTTAGTTGCTCAATGAAATGTTTTTGTTTTAAAATAACCCATTGCCGGGCTCGGTGGCTCCGCCTGTAATTCTGCGCCTTTGGGAGGCTAAGGTGAGTGAATTGCCTGAGGCCGCGGGTTCAAGACCCGCCTGGGCAGCGAGACC